ACTAACAGGCACATTACTTGAGCACTTCCTGTATGCAAAGCAGTTTACTGGGTGCCTTAGGAGACACACAGACACAGGCACTAATCCATTTACTACAAGTAGCAAAAGAAGCCTCTGCTGTCAAAGTTGCTTTTTATTTTTTTCAAAGTGCTTGGAGCATCCACGTCCCACTAACACTTATTTTTGGTGGATCACACAATTTAATGGGTATGTAGTATGGAGTCCTCTTACACACTTGTATCATTTTATATGGTAAATATAGTAATATGGAGTCAAATTCAGACTTGCAAAGCAGTTAAATACATGCAAAATCTTTGCTTTTACCAAAGTATTTAAGCCCCTGGCAGTGGGCAAGGCCACACCGCATTGGTGGCGTTGCTCTTGTGTCAGCCGGGGCAAAGCAGTTGTTCAGTTTATCCTTGCTCGCAGCCTGTGTCGGTGGCCAGAGCTGTCTCAAGCCTGGGGCTCATAAAAACATTATTTAATGAATAGTTTAAATATTCAATGGTGAGAGAATGGCAAAATAAATTATGGGAGAATCATTGTAACAAAAAAAGAAACGAATAATTATGAAGTTTTATAGCAATATTAATTTTTTTTTACCTGAGAGTATTAAGGGGAGAAATATTTTATAAAGGCTATCACTGTAATTATGTCAAACATGTATTTGTATGCATAAAAAGTGAAATAAATGTTAAAGGAATCTTTAAAAAAAATAGTAAACCCATGACTCATACAGATATAATAATGAATGTATGTTAAAGACTTGCGTTAACTCATTCAAGGAGGGAATTAGTTGGAATTAGTCAGAAGGTTCAGCTACTTCAAAACAAGCAGCTGACTGAGAAAGGGAATGCTGAAAAGGATTCCAAATGGAGGCAAAATCGGTGTCTTCTTCAAAGAGGGTAACAATCAAACCTCTATCGCACTGGAGAAAATGGGTTTTCTAACAATTAGGTACAATGTACAGAGTTGCAAAATAATTCCCATAGAACTGATTTTGAATGGGCTCATTTAAGGAAGGGTGTTCAACAGACCAATTTTTTCTACAGGCAGCAGTCTTGAAAACATGGGCAGGATTTGGGATATTTTTTGTTTGCTTATTTAATGTAATTTTTAAGAACAAAGATATCCCTCCCAGATTTTTAAAGAGACCATTGCAAAGCATCTTTAAATATTAAGATTCCCACCGTGGCTGGTGTGGCTCAGTGGTGTGGGCATTGTCCCGCAAACCAAAATGTCACTGGTTTGATCCCCTGTGGGGACTCATGCTTGGGCTGCAGGACAGGCCCCCAGTTTGGGGCATGTGATTGGCAGCTGTATCAATGTTTCTCTCATACGCTGACGTTTTTCTCCCTCTCTGTCTCTGTCCCTTCCCCTCCCGTTAAAAATAAATAAATAAATCTTTAAAAAAATTAAGATTCCCTAGAGTGTTTAATAGGTAATTTTGTTTGCAGGCACATTTTAGAAACGTAGTTAGTGTGAGGCATACCTGGCTCCTGTTTCTCCTGAAGTTTATAAAAACCATATATGACCTGAAACCAGGTAAAAAAAGCCCAATGGTATCTCAGGCTAACTAGTAGTCTCCTTCCCATCAGTTGTCCTCCTCTTTCTCCATCCTGGACATAGAAACTACCTGGACTTCATAAGTCATAAAATTTCAGAGTCCAGGTGATTACAGAGAGACAGCAAGTTTCAGAGATAACATTCCTCTCACTTTCTTTTTCAATGGAGCTGAGAGGCCACAGGACAGTCATTGCTGACGGGCAGCTCTGGGCAGCACTGGAGCTCAGGGCAAAGGTGAAAGCAACAGCTGCTGCTTGGCCACTTCTCCCAGGCTGCCTCGCGCTTCTCCTTCCCCGAGTCCACATCCCTGTTATCCAAATGCTATAGATCTGCTTTAGCCAGGACAGAGATAACATATGGCTATTGAAATTTAAATTACATAAACATCCAGTTCCCAGTTGCAAAAGCCACATTTCCACATGTGCTAGTGTTTACTGGATCAGCTAGCGCAGGTACTAAACATGCCCATCATTGCTATAGATGAGCACTCCCTCCTTCCATCCCAGATTTCTCTCCCATCCTTTTTTCTGCTTGCCACGCTTGTTGCTTGTTATTCAAATAAATCAGTGTCACCTATGACAATGACTGTCTCTTTGACCGAACTTTAGTTAGGTTCCCCTGAGCTCTTTTCTTGTCTAGGCCTCAACCTTAGGCTTCTGTGTCTGTTCTTGCCAAGTCCAATTTTACTAAAAATCCTATGTTAGTTTAGAGAGAATCCTCTACCCTTGATGTCTGATCGATCCCTAGACTTCCTTCAGCAAGAACCCTATTAAGTCAGTTTAGCAAAAATATACCCTAACCTCTTAGTAATATTTTATCCATTGACCCCTTACTCGGCTTGATGGCTGTAAACCAACCCCAACTTGCCCTTACTGTATTTGAGTTGAGCATAATCTCTCTCCCATATTGTAATGTTCCTATTATATATGAACAAAGGACTTTTCTTTCCACTTTAACAGGCTTCAGAATAATTTTTTCTCTTAATACCACTTTTATGAAACCTTCCTCCTTGCCCCTAGGAAAAATTAATTCTATGCTATCTTAGAACTGCGCGAATTCCTCTCCTAAAGCCAATATCGCAGGACATTACACTCATTTACCCATTCAGCTTTTGTTATGGATTACTGAACTCTCATGAAAAGTATAGTGAGTACAGTGACTAAGAATGCAGTCACTTGAGTGTGAATACTGGGCTGAAAACTTCTAGTTTTCACTAACTAGTTGTGTGAGCTTAGACAAGTAACTTTATGTTTCTAAGCCTCAATTTTCTCACCCGTCAAATGGAGATAATAAAAGTGCTTTCCTGCCCTGGCCAGTGTGGCTCAGTTGGTTGGGCATCATCCCACAAAGCGAGAGGTAGCTGGTTCGATTCCCTGTAGGGCCCATGCCTGGGTCTCAGGACAGGTCCCCATATGGGAGCGTGCAAGACGCAACTGATCGATGTTCTCTTTTACATTGATGTTTCGTTCCCTCTCTTTCTCCATCCCTTCCGTTCTCTCTAAAGATAAATAAATAAAAATCTTACAATAATAATAAATAATAAAAGTGTTTCCCTTACAAAGATCAAATGAGATAATCTGTAGCCTCAGGCACAGAGTAACCCCACCCCAACCCTATCTTTGTTAAGACTCCAAGCCTAGCAGTTGAAGAATGGAGTGGGAAATTTTCTCTCAGTCTGAATATCAAGTCCCATTCCTTTAATATCTAGTTATAAAAGGGTTGTACTTACAACCTCCTCTTTACACTTCTATGGAAAATAAATAAGACTAATATTTTCTGTTCTATACTATCAAATTTAGCTCCCCAAAATATCAACAAAACTGTCTGTTGATAAGATAAAATTGAGTTTCTTCTTACCAAAAGAAGGAAGCACTCCCTTGGCATAGCTATAATAGTGCCTCAGAGGTGGCAGGACAAAGTTGTGGTGATTGAGACTTTGAAGTTTAGTGTTTGCGGGGGCGGGGGTGTGGCGGGACAGGCGCTGATTAGGGTTGGGTAAGGTCATGATACAATAGTTTAGGTGTGGTGGGCACAGCAAAGCAAGGATTTTGAAACCAGGGGTTCTTGGAGTGTCCATAACTGTCATATGATGCTTCCTATTGAAGAGCTGATGGTTCTCTCAGAAAGTTTCTAAAATGAACAATAGTTTTATCTGCACTTTTAACTTCCAGGCAAGAGTATCATGAAATAGTTGTCATGTTAATGCAGACAGTAAACTGTGTGGGTGTTGGAATTGTCAGCTCTCAGTGCTTTTTAAAAAACTAATAAGTAAAATTAAAGGAAATGTATCTAGGACACCGACAGCACTTATCTCTGTAGACAGAGTTTAACATGGAAGAGTATTATTTTGGTAACTCAGGAGGTGATTTGAACTTTCCACAGACGCTCCTCTCCCTGGTTTACTCATTTCCCACCATCCATTCACCTCAGTTTAATGCCACCGGTCTTGTGAGAAGGTAGAATTAGGAATGCTCAGTCTCCTGCCTGAAACCTAAAGTGGCTTCAGGGGCGCATAACTTCTCTGGTTAAATGACAGATTTAGACAGATCTTACTCCTTGGAGAAGGGACACTTCCGAATTTAACCTTTCATAGATAGTACGTGAAGTGTTAAAGAAATAACTATCCTGACATTTGTTAAAATGGTAAGACTTTATCCAGGATTACCACAACAGCGACATTATAATAGGGGAGAGAGATCGTGCCCAATTCCAAATACAATAAGGATAAGTGGATGGAAAATTACAAATAGGAGATACCAAGGGTGGGGGAATTCTTGCTAAATCAGCTTAGGATTCTTGCTAAAGGTCAGCTGGGGATTGTTCAGATACCTAGGATGGGGAATTCTCAACTGACTTAGCAGGATTCTTGCTGAGTTTATTCTTACCGCAGTTGCGAAGAGTACCTCCTTGGAAGAGTTAATGCTAAAGAATAATTTCTTTATAGGAAGGCAATGATGAGACACAAAATCTGCAGCGCCCAGGGAGATTGTTGGGTCTGCTGGGCACGTGGGAGGCGTGATTAATATGCCAAAGGGAGTCTCATCTGTAAGCCTCTTAGAGAAGTGTTATGCAGAGGCAGGAGAAAAACGAAGATGACTTCTCAATGGCCTTTCAAGCGTATGGAGATTCCTCATTCAAAACTGAAATAAAATTTGTTTTTTTAAAACTTGTTCTATTCCAGTTGTCCCAATTTTCTCGTGTTTTTTAAGGTAAGTAAACAGCTTGTTTTAGAGGAAGAAATAGGGTCCTTGGGGTGAGAATGCTGCTCCGGACCGAGGAAAACCGTGAATGGTACCTAGCCGAGCGCCCGTGGAACCCGATCACCTGAACACTACAAGTCCCAGAAAACACCGCGGTGGGGGCGGGACTTGCTGACCACTGCGACGCGTGGGCGGGGTCAGGCGGGATCAGCTCTCCCTGGGGTTTTTGGCCCCGCCCCCGTCCCCTGCCCTGTCCTGTTGCTGTTGCGCCGCCGCCGGCTGCTGCCTCTGGTGAGTCCCTGGAGTGAGGGAGGGTAATTAGTGGCAGTGGGCCCTCGGGTTCCCCAAATCAGACTTCCAGACCTGAGAAAGTACCACGGGCGGTTAAAGTGCTACCGGTTTCGGTTTTCACCACCTTCCCTCTTTCTCGGGAAACAGTAAGTGGGAGTGGCGTCGGAGCCCCTGGATCTCTTTCCGCGGCCTTGAAGGGTTGAGGGACAGCTTTCTCCCGAGCAAGGCAGGACCTCAGTGCTGGCGGCCGGGTGGGAGACTCCTTGGGCAGAAGGGATCCCCCTGACGGGAGTGAGGGTCTTGACGTCACAGCATCACGCCCCCTCCCGCGGGCGGAGGTCCCAGTGGTTCCTTAATCTCCGTGACTTTTTTCGTTTGCTTGGAGGTGGACGCGGCGTCCTCCCTGGTCACCCAGGCAAGTTACTTTCTCTTTGGGCCTCATTTGCACTGTCTATACAAGTAGGCTTGATCCCTGACGCCCCTTTCCTTCAGATGAGGCCTCTGTAATTGGAGGAGGTTCTAGGCATCCGAGAAGAGGGAGCAGCTGGAGTGTAGTGACCTGCTTCTTTACAGTCGATATCCCGTAGCCCCTCCCACTGCCACCATCAAGCCAGTTTAGTTTAGGGGCTAATGTTCCCACTCACATTGTGATTTCAACTTCTCCCGGGCATGTTAACTTTTTTCTATCACTTGGATTCTTTGCTCCTGATGCAAGCTAACAAGTGGCCGTTCTTGGAGCTGAGTGGAATAATACAGATGCTATGCAGTTAACCCTCACTTAACGTTGTCATAGGTTCTATGACTTTAAGCGCAATGTCCTATAGGCAAGGCAGTTTTATCAGAAGCTAAGGGACAGAAACAAGAGTTAAGTTCCTACAACATCTCATCAACATTAGAACTAAACGACGTTGAACAAATCGATGTTATTCAAGGACCTGCTGTATATTATAACTTTTCTCCACTATTGCAAAAACCATTTAAAGCAAAGGACTTTTTATGCAATAGGTCTTTGTAAATAGTGTACAGCACATGATCAAGGAATATCCAGGGGACTCGCTTTCACAGGTGTTTTCAGAAGGCCTCTACCTGAAACCCTACCCTTTAGCAGAATGATAGCTGTAGAGTGGAAAGAACGCTGAGAAAGGTGGTCAGTAAGAGTTCCATAGCACTAACAAGTCATGTTATCTTTCAAGTCAGATAGTACATTTGGGGCTCTTTTAAAAAACTTGACAGCACTTATTGATGTAATGCCATGCTTCCTTATTTTCTTAGATGAAAAGTGAGACAGTTACAATGAATTCTTCTAATTCCTTTTTCTTTTACTTAGGATCATTGCTATAGCTGGAAAGTTTCTTAGAGGTATTCTAGCCTGATCTGTGCATTTTACTGATGAGGAGACAGACCTAAAAGGTAGCGTGACTCGGCCAAGATCTCAGAGCTTGTTAGTGGCAGAACTAAGACAGGTACCCGGGTGCCTCAGCTCCTAGCCTGGTCCCACTTCCACTACACTCCAAACGCTGCCACTCCCCCTGCCGCTTTTGGGGTTAGCAGAGTCACCCCTTTCAGGATAAAAGTGTAAAACCTCAGTCAAGGAAAAAGGAGATTTAGTACACAGTTTTGAGCTTTTCACAGTTTCTGGTTATGTCATGTCCCAGAACTGCTTTCCGGTTCTTCCGTAGTACTGCTGGCTCTGGTGGTGAGGGATGTGAGATGGAGGTCTGCTTGGAACAAGCTGGGCAGCCAATCCAAACAGCTGTTGATGAGTACTATTTAGAGCCTGCTGGGGCTATACAATTTTTCTAAGGCACTCTGAAAAATTCTAGGTAAGGAACTATAATGAGCTTGGAGAATTTGAATCAAACCCAGTGGCTTAATAATTTGAGGACCAGTGACTACGTGCCTTTGCTTTTGCTGCCTGTCTCGGGCCATCTACAAACCCATCATATCCATTATCAGTGTTCTCCGAGGATATTTCCCTGGGCCAGAGAAGAGTGGGACTCAAATTAGTTCGTCCATTTACCAATTGCTGATTGTTTAGAAAGTCAAATAAGCAGAAGGATGAAGAAATTAGGTTAATGTGGATTTGGTGTTTATTTGTCTTTGTTTTAACCTTTCCCAAATGAAGAACTGCTTTGCAGCTTTCCCTTGGCTGTGAAAGCATTTGATTTCCTTCTGTGAACTAATCCAGAGAAACTACCTATAGTCTTCATTTTTCTTGAAACATGTGCCCACTACAGCAGATTTATAGTCTTTTTATTTTTTTAAAGATGTATTTATTTATTTATTTTTGAGGTGGAGGAAGGGAGGGAAAAAGAAAGGAGACAAACATCAATGTGTGAGAGATACATTGATCAGTGTGGCCTCTTGCACACCCCCAGCTGGGGACCTGGCCTGCAACCCAGGCGTGTGCCCTGACTAGGAATCAATCTGGTGACCTTTCAGTTTCCAGGCCAGCACTCAACCCACTGAGCCACATCAGCCAGAGCTATTTATATTTTTATAGTAGCTATAAAAGGCTAATATAAAAAGTTGGGCATTCTTTAACGGAGAATTCTAGTTATTTTTAATGAAGTTTTTTCTTTGTGGTTCAGCATACATGAGGAAAAATGTATGCTTAGGAATTTTTAAATTTTTCTGCTATGAAGCCTATCAGTTAAGCGTACAGATTCACTCAGAGTGAGCAGAAGTAGAACTGGCTGTTGTTCCTTTTCCTCAGGAGAACAAGAGGATCTGTGGCCTCATGAAACAGTTCTGGGAGTAGAGTATAGGCTGGAAAAGCCCATTAGATGAAAATGTGTCAGATTTTCTTAGAAGCCAGGAACCAGTTCTGGAGACTCATTTTAAAATACATCGTCTATTATTGCCACCTCTTCTGAGGACCTGAATCCTTTTGGAAACTGAGCCCCACCCCCCCGCCCAAAAAAAGGTAACAATAATGTCAGAGTCCTAATAAAATGCCCATGACAATTTATGGAATCTGCACTATTTTCCCATGCTTGATGGTCTGTTTTTAAAAACTCCTATTTGTTTTCCGTGGTCACTCGTCATGCGGCCAGCCTTTGACTTGAGGGTAGGAGTAAAGAATTGGTGGAATACCGTTCCACAATTTCTAGGGCGCCTAATTCATCCCATTGCCTTTTCATGACTCAGTAGCTCTGTGGGCTTCTAAAATTAACTTTTGCGCTTCTATTTCTTCTCCCTTCACTGCCTCTATGGGTAGTGCCAGAATTAGAGGTGGGATGGTAGACAGGTTCTACAGTGGGAAGAGTGGTTAAAGGAGGGAGAAGTTGATGCTTAAATCATTCTAATTTTCCTTCCATACTCTTTCTGTCCCCTGCACAAAAAGTCATTTCTAGATTGCTTTGTCAGAAAGGTAAATTCCCATTTGTCCTGGGGTATTTTATCACTGGAGGGAAGAGAGGCTTTAAGGATCACTGACCTTAAAACTGTAGACACCTTCCTTCCACGAAAAGTCCAGTGAGGCATCCTCACTGGCCCCGCTCAGACTGGCAAGGCCACCCTCTAGGTTTGCTCATGGCTTTTTCCGTCTTCAGCTTTGGCAAGAGGCAGACAAGGGGAGCCACTGCTGGTTTCTGCTTTGCCTGCCTCCTCAGCCCCTTTCCCAGTCTTGGCAGAGAGGAGTTTTTATTTTCAGAATGATTGAGTTCCAAATACCCAGAATGCCATTGAGTGCCCTCTGAGTCCTGGGAAGGTGATGAAATTGTTGAAATGGGGAATTTCATGGAGTCTCTTACATTTTTGATAAGCAAGGAATCAAGACTGTTGACTTTTCCAAACAGGTGATTAGGTTTTCGGATGAAAGAATAAAGTGTCCATTAGCTATATACACTCAAGCTTTGGCATGAGCTCTTCCATGTCATTTTTTTAAAAAAGATTTATTTATTTATTTATTTTTAGAGAGAGGGGAAGGAAGGGAGAAAGAGAGGGAGAAAAACATCAATGTGAGAGAAGCATCAATCAGTTGCCTCTTGCACACACGCCAACCGAGACCAGCCCGAAACCCAAGGGCGTGCCCTGACCTGGAATTGAACTGGCGACCCCTCGCTGTGCGGGACTACACCCAACCCACTGAGCCACACCAGTCAGGGCTCCATGTTGTTTTGAACGTTTATGCTGACTTTTCTTCAGTGCTCTTCTGTTCATGAACTAATGTATAGATTGTTTTTCTAGTAAGGAAAGAGAGGCTGTACCAAGCCCCCATACCCTTAGTTGGTCTTGTCTTTCACAGGAGCACCCATTTACAAAGCAGCTCGCCAGAGTTTGAGTGTGTGGAAGGCGGGTAATGGAGTGTGACTTTTATGAGTCCTTAAGGAAATCAAATCTGCGCCTTTTGTTTTTTGGCATCATGCCACTTGAACCAGCTCTGCCAGCTGAACCAGCCATACCAAGAATTGACATAGCACTTGGAGATTATCATCTCCTTACCCTATTTTAGAAAAGCGAAAGCTTAGAAACAGCAGCTTCTCCAACTGTATCCAGCAAATTAAGAGCAGGACTGAAAAAAAAAAAAGAATTAGTTGCACCACCATTCACACCATTGTTTACCTACAGATCCCCTTCCTTTCTTTTTTGATGAACTACATACACATCTTATTTATTCATTTATTCAGTGAATACAAGATCAGCGATCACTGTGGGCCAGACATTACGTAGTGACAGTGTTGTGACGGAAGAGAACAGGGAGGGTGGTACTTAGGCTGAGACAGGCCCTGGAGTCATTCTTGTCTGAGTGTTCTTCAGATCCGTAGTCAGAGGACAGATTAAGCCACTTTTCATGCTCTGATAAATGGTGCTCCGGGCTCAGGACAGAGGGAACCTGCTGGCCTCGGTATGCCTGGCGAGCGCTAGGGAAGACAGGGGTCTGCAGGCCCAGAACCTTCCTTCCCGCCCTCCCAAAGCCTCTAAGAGCTCACATGGGCACCAACTTATCAGGAGGAACAAGTCCTGACCTATACTGCAACGTGATCTCTCTCTTCCTTAGAAAAACTGATCTGAGGTTTGAGGTTGAGGATGTGGTTAAACTGTGTCACCAACCAGAAAGCCAATACTTTTTTTTGTTGTTGTTACTAAATTCAATCCCAAGGATAGATAGTTCAATGCCTCAAAATCCCCTTCTCTGTGAAAACAACTGATCTTCATGGAGTTGGAAGAAGAGGCTTGATTGCTTAACGTTCAAAATAAAACCAGGAAATATGTAGGGTGGGCAGGGCAAAAGGGCTACTCTGTGTGTGTGTGTGTGTATGTGTGTGTGTGTGTGTGTGTGTGTGTTTTGTTTGTTTAATTGTATGTACTTATTTTCAATTGTGTGTATGCATACATACAATCTTCCAACAAGTTCCAACAGCTGAATTTGTAAGGTATCATGTAGTGTATGTACAGCTCTTTCTTCTGCTGTGTAGAGCTGCGATATTGTTTTCATTTCCCAGTAAAATTATGGGTTGAGAATCATGAACTCACTACACATTAGACCAAGGAGGCATTTGGAAGACAGGGCATGTAAATTTTAAAAGGCAGAAAGTATCAGGTCTCAACAACTCAAAAGACTTTGTTTCTTTTATGCATTATTCTGTACTGTGACCCAGAGAGTTTATCATCGCCACTTTACAGATAGGGGTCCAAACTTGCTTGCTCTCCTCCAAACATGGGCTGCATTTTTGTTCCTTTGCTTTTATGCACGCTGTTTCATTCCTGGAATTTCCTCACCCAAACCCACTTGTCAAAATCTTCATTTTCCTTAGGGGCTCATCGAGGATTCTGCTCACTCCCGAAAGTTTTTCTCTATTTTCCTAACCAGTCACATCTCTCCCTAAGAGATGAACCTAAGAGATTTTGCACTTCCACTATCCCTTTAGCTGCCACTTGTTTACTCATCTAACTTCTGTATTAGGTTGGAACCCATCGTGAGGGCAAACACTGTGCCAGAAAGGAAAAAAAAAAACACCCCACAACAATAGTAATAATCATTAACATCTGTTAAACCCTCCCTCTGTGCCGACTCTGTGGTAAGTTCTTGATTCTGTCATTCACCGTGTCTCTACTTTGGGTGAAGGGCCTACTCTACCACAAGAGCTGGTTTCAAGACCGGACCCTTCACATTTTTTCAATTCCCAGCTCAGGCTATTTTCCTTTAGGCTGCCTTGCTTATCTAAGGCATTTGGAAGGAGGTGAACACGCTAGCCAGGAGCAGAGAAAATAAGGGTAGCGAGGGTGGTGGCGCCTGTGGTGCAGAGATCAAAGATATTCTCCGAAAATCCTCGTGGCGTAGGAAGTTGTGAATGCAGAATGGCTCAAAGTGAAACCAAAAGCAAGCTGTATGATCTCGGTACTGGTCAGGCTTTTTTTTTGTTTCTTTTCCTGATTTCTTTTGAACAGAATGTTCCCTGGGTGAGAGCCCAGAAAGCTCCACCATTTCAGACAACCCTTTCTGAGCCTTATTTTATCCCATGTCTCATCCGCAGGACCCCACCATGGAAGACACGCTAGAAGACCCCCCCATATCAGCTGTCATGCTGGACCATTGTCATTTCTCTCAGGTCATTTTTAACAGTGTGGAGAAGTTCTATGTTCCTGGAGGTGATATCACTTGCTATTACACCCTCACCGAGAATTTCATCCCCCGTCGAAAGGACTGGATTGGAATCTTTAGAGTAAGTAGCTAATTTGGTACCAAGTGACAAGGAACTAGAGGTGAATCTTCATTACCATGTATAATAAGCATTTTGCATATTACATCTGGCCAATTTTAAGGTCCTGAACTAAGCTCCCCTGTACTTCCCCTTTCACGCACCAGCATGTCTTGTGGGATGCGGGCAGAAATGTGGTGGCAAATCGTACAATCCCCGACTTCTATTATGCTTGCAAAGACCAAATGTAAATTTTAAAAAATTATCCTATTTTGGAATGTTTCTGTGGCTTGACTGGGATGATTGTTTCCTTACATCGTTTGTGTTTAATTTGTTTTAATATGAGTATTACATATCCGGAAGGCATGTTGCGACATTACTGGGTTCAACATCTTGCATCCAAGCCATTTGTTCCTGAAGAAGTGTGTCTTCCTTCTTTCTACAGATTTCCAGTGACAGAAAGTTTATGAGCTCCCTCAGTGACCTGTTCTAGGTTCTAATCACCCTGTCAGTTCATGTACAGAAATGGTACTTTTTTATTATAGTCAACTTACTCTCTACCTCGGCTTTTCCCCTCATCTGTGTCTCTCTGTCACACACACACCATCATGACAAATCTTCCTATTTCCAGAGACAGGAAATAAAGGTCAAATTTAAGCAATTTACACTGCTGACTTCCAATGCCCGTGACCTTTGTTTTGACAACTAGTATGTCATTTGCGTGTTTGCCAATGCTGTTCATCCTGAAAGCAGACATCATTCTTGACTGCGCTGTGAAGGAGCTGGTGCTTATTTACATCCCTCATTAAGTTACTTTTCCTTAATTGTTTGAAATTCCAAGCTAATTGATGGAGCCGTGGCAGCTGGTGTTTAGAGACAGGGATAGACAGCCAGAAGGACACTGGCAGGTCTCATGGCAGCTCCCTGACTGCAGAATGCTGAACCATTAGACTAAAGGATGTTAAAACTGACATACCAGCGTGTTTCGTATTTTGTAAAGAAGACAATGGTTGGGGTTTTTTCCCCTGTAGGTAGCCAGCTGTCCAGTAGGACATGCTACAATGGCGCTGTACCTTCCTTGTCCAGTACAGCAGCCTCTAGCCACATGTGGCTGTTGAGCACGTAAAATGTGGCTAGTGTGACTGAGTAGCTGGCTTTTAAGTTTTATCTAACTTTAACTTAAAATTAAATAGCCTCGGATAGCTAGTGGCTATCATATTGGACAGGGCAGGTAGAGATAAAAAAAAAAAAAGGATTAAAAAAAAAAAATGCTTGTTAGAGTTTGTAGTGTAATCTGAAACTTTTTTTGTTATGCTTCTATTTAGCTTAGACTTGCTTGTATCCCCCCAGCATGTGGCAACTTCCAGGGAGGTCATGCCCGTAAACCAAGTGAGAGTCAGGCTTTTTAAAAACAAATGTTTAAAAACATTTAAAAATGCGTCTACTTTTGGAATGCTTCATGTATTTCTGAGGTATTGCCAGACCTCAGTGAAGAAATGGTTAATCCAAAGAATGGCCTCTCATGTTTATGGCTGGTTTGAACACCTACCCTGAAGCCTGAAAGAAAGTTTTAAGACTAACAGAAAAGAACTGAAAGTTTTTGAGACTATATGACATACTAGGTCTTTGATGGGTTGTGTATGTGTGCTCTAATTTAATCCTCACGGCACAGCAACCCCCTGAGGTAAGTAGTATTACCTCTTGTGTGCAGATGGATACAATGAATATATTCAAGATGGTGACTTCCCCAAGGTCCCCCAGTAAACAAGCTTGTCTGACATTGAAACTTTTGCTCCTTCTTCTCTATTCTGCTGAATTCCTTTGAACAACAGTTGGTAAGTTAGGAGAATTAAAAGTTAACTGTAAAGTTTTGTCCTTTGTATATCACTTCTAAAGTTCACCCAGTGCTTTTTCAGTGTGTGAGTGTCTTTGTTTGTTTTTTTAACCCTCACCTGAGGATATTTTTTCATTGCTTTTAGAGAGAGAGGAAGGGAGAGAGAGAAACATGGATTCAAGAGAGAAGCATCTATTGGTTGCCTACCATACGCACTCGGACCAGGGATCAAACCTGCAGCCTAGGCATGTGCCCTTACGGGACGATGCTCCAACCAACTGAGCCACACCAGCCAGGGCTAGTGTGTTTTTAATCATTTTCCTCAACTCCACATCAACCCAAACACTGGTACTTCCTGGCACCAAGTAGGCACTCATGAAATGTTTCCGAATGTGCAGCATGCTCCATCCTCTCGCTACAGCAAAAGCCACCACCAACGATCAAGCCTAAAGTGGGAGGGAGTTGGCTTTCCTTCCTTCAGCACATAGTGCTGCGCTCCAAACTGTCCTCTCCCTGGGCATGTTGGTGTTTCCAAGGTCGCAGAAAGGGGAGACACCAAGCCACGGGAGGTAGACTGGGACTAGGACTGCCCAGGTGGAGGAGCCAAGGACAGAAATTGCAGGGAGCTAAATGTTGTTCCCTGTTCCAAGGCAACAGTAATTCTTAGGCCTTTCCAGATGATATTTTGGTCACGGTGCATTAAGAAACTCCAGGATGTGAATGAAGACTCCATAAAATTCCCTCTTCCTGCACCCCCACACGCAGCAGCGGCTCTGCGATGCTTACAGCAATGGGGTGTGTATTAATGAGACACTAAAACATGCCCTCGTATGTTCTGATGAGCTTTCGGTGTAGCCTTTTCAACCCTGCTCCAATTCCTTAATATATAAAAACAGAATTTATTTTTAGTTTTTTTTTCTTCCCACTGGGCTCAGGTAGGGTCAAAATATGGCAATAAATGTAATTTTGCTCCTCATTTGCTGAGCATTCTCCCCTTGAAGACACAATGGCTCCCTTTCTATTCTCTGGTGTGCTCTTATCTTTCAGATACGATTTGAGCTATCTTTTACTCCTCTTCACATTTAGTGAGAATATTTTCCACTTAGCCAGCTGTCTGCTCTGGGGCATATTTTACAGTACCCTTATATTTTATGACTTAATGCATTTAATACCTAGAAAAAGCCTTTATGACTACCAGATTGTTGTTATTTTTTAGCACCAAAAATCCTTCATGAAGCATGCATTAAGAAAAACACTGAAGAAAAGGAACTATATAGACTGGACACAGTTATCTGGTGCTTCATAATCTAAGAAGTCTCTTGTCCCTCCACCCCCAACACTCACACTATTCAAAAAATGCATTTAAAAAAATGTAATAGTCTAACCAGGTTGGTAGAGGTGACAAGACTAAATTAGACACAAGAGAGGATGAACCAATGAGGAGAGCAAATCCAAAGTGCTTCCTGATTAAGAAGTTCCAAAACACCATTGTAAGAGGATAGCAGGACCAAGGATCACAATTCTGGAATCTTTTTCCTCAGTCACTCTCAGTTCTATGTCTGACTTAAAGATAAAAATTTTGGAACTTTCATCCTGGATGTTGAGTGGCCAGTTTTCATTTACTTCTAAGACAGGTATTTTGGACTCTGTGTGTGTGCCCATTTATAGTTGTATCAGACATTTTATCGTAGATAGTTGTCATAAGTCAAACAACAAGATTTGATCCATGGTGAGTGGATCTTGTCATAATGAACTCATTCTGTTGTCTTTAGAACATAAATAAAAAATAAGTGCATTTTGAGAAGACGTAGAGCAAGTAAGGACTTTCCCCTGAGCACTTCCAGGTGCTGAACGAGAGCCTCTTGTCATTGCAGGTGGGATGGAAGACAACCCGTGAGTATTATACCTTCATGTGGGTTACATTGCCCGCTGACCTAGACAGCAAATGGACCAAACAGCAGGAAGTCCAGTTCAAAGGTGAGAAAAATACTGTCTGGATCAAAGGCGTTGAAGACAGTTAGCAGCCAACTTATTTCCTTGAGCTTGGGCTTTCTGGAGCAGATAAAAGACTTCCAGATTTTCAGTTTCCTGAGTAGACCTTATTTTGGATTACAAATCACCTTGTGTTTTCAGCTTATTATCTGCCCAAGGATGATGAGTACTACCAGTTCTGCTATGTGGATCAGGATGGTGTGGTCCGGGGAGCAAGCATCCCTTTCCAGTTCCGTCCAGAAAATGAGGAGGACATCCTGGTCGTCACCACTCAGGTCTGTGAAGATCTCACCTCCATCCCTTCCTGCCAGTAAGAGCAGCAATTCCAGAGGAGGGTGAAATTTGAGTCAAAAAGCCTTTATTGAATTTCTAACTGATACTATTGAGAAGAATTTACACAATACTCCCTCAAACCCACTCCAGAATGACTTAGGAACATTAACAAAAATCCTAACAGGTGGTTTCTTGTTTCTCTAAAACGACTGTAACTCAGTTGGCATTCAGTTATTTCCTTAATTTTTGTCATCCCCACATCTTACCACCACAGTTCATTGATAAAGCTCCTTTAAGGAGAGATCCACCAAATAGTCTTTCTATCTCTCAGTTCTGACACAGAGCCTGTCCTGCATATTAGATTCATTTACTCAGTTACTTAACAGAATACCTACTCTCCATCCAGTACAGCGGTGGGCGCCAGAGATGCGATGGAGAATTAATTGAAACACTGTCCCTGGCCTCAAGGAGCTAAGTCCATAAGAGAAACAAACAGTATGAAGTGTTTGCAAGAAGAATCTACATTCTTCTATCATTCCCCCTTTCCATTTTTTATGACCTTAAATTTGTTTATCTTTCTCCTTGGTAATGGCAGACTCAGTGCTGCAAATTATACAGATAAACCTCTATTACTATCTTCCTTACATACTGAGGGGCTGCTCCCATTCGGGGTACACAGAGAGTGGGACTCAGCCAGACCCTCACTGTCCCAGGTTGTGGGAATTTTTTGCTAGACGGATTTGAGTATCCACTGAGCAATAAAGGGTCAAATAGGAGTTTATGGAATGCTCTTTCGTAGGGTGAGGTGGAAGAGATCAAGCAGCACAACAGCGAGCTTTGCAAAGAAAACCAGGAGCTGAAGGACAGCTGTGTCAGCCTCCAGAAGCAGAACTCAGACATGCAAGCCGAGCTCCAAAAGAAGCAGGTATGGCTGCTGGTTAAAGGTGAATTTGGAGTGTGGAGGTCAGAACTGGGTGGTGCCTCTTAGCCAGCAGCATTTCCTGTTTGGCTTGCGATCTCGCTCCCTCATACAATCTCTTTGAATAGGCATAGTGTTAAAAGTTTTATGTGGACTATTTTTAAAAAACTGCAAGGCAAACCTTTGGAATATGTACTATTATTACCCCAGTTTTATAGATGAGTTACCCGAGGCTCAGGGGGTTAAGTAATCTCTTATACCGCTAATCAGTGACGGAGTCAGGATTCGGACCGAGGCAGTCTGACTGCGCCTTCCCATTGCCTATTTATAATGTGAAATAATTTGCTTTGATTAGCTAGCATGTGACATCAAGAGAGCAAACAGTAATAAAGGAAAGCTGTGGGTTATCCAAACTCTTTGCAACTTGTCTTCAAGTCAGCAGGTGGTGAATGAGAGTTGATCATGCTAGACGCGGACGTGGAGAGTTTTCTCTAAAAACTATAAGCTAATTACCCTGAGGTCATAGCTTAGAAGTTTCCAAAACACACAGACCTTGGTAATCACTGCCTATAAAGCCGTTGATCTGCAGGTGAGGAAACTGAGGCCCAGAGGAGAAGGGAAGTGAAGTGATTACACTGAGTTAGGACTCACTTCTCTGGACTCCCAGACAGTGCTCTGTTCTCTACACCTTGCTGTCACAAAAAATGCCTGTGATGTCCTTGGCCCTGGGCTGGAATAGGAGTGTGGGTGGCAGATCCAGGCTGCAGACCTGGCCTGTCCCAATCAGTGAGATAACAAACAAAGGAGGAGTAGGTATAAGTCACAACTTGGCTGTCAAGAACCAGCATCTGGCCAGGAGCCTTCCAGAATACCTGCCAGGTTCTAGCCAAGGAATCAGAGGGACTGGGTTCTACGGTAAGCTCTCCTACATACTTGCTACCAGTTATTACAATGATGACAAAAGCCCATATTTATGACTCACCTGCTACGTGCCAGACACTATAATTAAGCACATTGCTTCGCTTCACTTCACTCACTGCTTACGGCAGCCCTGCAGCTTGGACTTGCACAATGTCACAGTCTATAGCTTTGCAACGAGCTGGGATTTGAACTCAGATATTTTTGATGGTAAAGCCCATGCTTTTTAGAGACAGGATCATACAATGATTAGGGACCTTGTCTTTGGAAGCACACGGGCTGGCTCTCCCACTTACTGTTTGATGAGCCAGAAGACATTTCTTAACATCTTTAAGGAGCTTCAATTTCCCTCCCTGTAAAAAGGGGATGGATAATACCTGTGTCTTCAAAGAGATACTAGTACCCATGTCCGTAACAGCATTTTTTGCAATGGCCAAAGCGTGGGGTCAGGTGTCAGTGATGAATGGATGGAGAGACATGGCGCGGTATGTACATAAAATGGCATGTTGTACAGCTTTAAAAGGGAAGGAAATTCTGGCACATGGTGCAACACACTGCTGGGCAAAGTGGGTCAGACCCAGAGAGACAAGCCATGTGATTCCACTTACGTGGGGTTCCTAGAGTTGTCAGCTTCATGGAAACAGAAAGTAGAATGGTGGCTGCCAGAAACTGGGGAGAGGGGTAAGGGGGAGTTAGTGTTTAGTGGGACCGAAGCTTCAGTTCTGCAAAAATGAAAAGAGTTCTGTGCGCGGGTGTCGTGGTGGCTGCACAGCCATGTGGCTGTACTGAACGCCACTGAGCTCTACACTCAGAATGGCTGGGAGAGTAAAATTATATATATTTTACTATGATTTTTTAAACAAAAAAATGATATTTAAAACTCTATAAACTAAAACTTTTTAAATCTTGAAGCTCAAAGGAGATAGTTGTGACTTACACATAAGAATTGGTTCAGTTCAGAGTGAAATCAGGAAAGAAAAACGGCTGTCTTGTGATACACAGTAAGTATAAAATATATACCAGATTTTGAAGACTTAGTCTGAGAAAAATGTAAATTTTTTTTATTGTTTACATGTTGAAACAGTATTTTATTTTACTTTTTTAAAGATTTTATTTATTTTTAGAGAAAGCGGAAGGGAGGGAGAAAAAGAGGGAGAGAAACATTGGGTGATTGCCTCACATAAGCGAACCTGCAACTCAGGCATGTGCCCTGGCCGAGAATCCAAAGGGAGACCTTTTACCTTGTGGAACGATGCCCAGCCAACTGAGCCACACCAGTCAGTGCTAAAAAAATACTTTAGATATAGTGGATTACCTATACTATTGGTAAAATTAATTTCATGTTTCTTTTTACTTTTTTTAATGTGGCTACTAACATTTTTGAATTACATATGTAACATTCTGAATTTATTGGACTGCACATTTCTAGGAGAAAAACAACTTCATTTTATCCGCTGCTGTGTTTGCAATGCCAGAACAGTGTCTGGTGTGTAATAGACACTCATCAAATGCTTGCTTAATAAATTAATGGGCAAATAGTGCTCCAGTGGAGGAGAAATTTAGGTAGATACATTTTTAATATGGACAGAACATATTAAGAATATTTGAATATGGAAACTCCTTTACTTGGATATTTTATGCACTGTTGCGTCATGCCATGCCTGACATGTAATGCATGCTCAATAAATACTGATATTTTTTGGCTGCCTGATATACTAGAACTGTCTTAGAAATGGCCTGTCCCTTTGACATTTCAATCTCTAGGAGGAATTAGAAACTTTAAAGAGCATCAACAAGAACCTGGAACAGACAGTGAAAGAGCAGAAGGACAGTTGGGAGACGGAGCTGCTTCAGTGAGTGTGACCCTTGGGTGGGAGGAACACCTGTATTAGAGGCACCCGCAGGTAGGGTCAGATTAGATCTTTAGAATTTGTTAGACTCCAGTCTTCCTATTAGGATGTTGATAGGTGTGATTCTCCCCTTTGAGCCATGAGCTCTTTGATGCTAGACTAGAGAATTAGTGTCAGAATGGTAAGGAGAAATGAGCTGAATTCAAGTATTAATGTTAAGTATCGAATACCTGCACTTGGAGGTCAGGAAACCAAAACAGGATTGAAGAAGAGAGTAGTGGATTTTAAAACAAATCTGCAGGCTTAGGGCCATTGCTGCCTTCAGTCATTTAAGGGTCTGGGGGAGCCTGCCGGCATCAACATGTATCTCACACAGTGCTGTCCTCATCCCCAGACTGAAAGAACAAAACCAGAAGATGTGCTCAGAAAACGAGCAGATGAGAGTCAGAATGGATCAGCTTCAGGTAGGTAACGGCACACCTTTGCCCAAGTGTATATCCTTAGTCTTGCCACCTCCTCTCCGGCAGCCCAGGGAGATCCATTTCATTGTAGTGAGTGCCTAACAGTATACCTTTCAAAGCATCAGACTGAAGTCCCATCGTATGTGTTTTCTATTCTTGACCTTCCCATACTTTTTTTTAGGGTCTCAGTCCACAGGAACTGAATAAATTTTTTAGTTTATATTTATCATGAGGTCCTAAGACGGATGACTGTCATCCAATGGTTGTCAAACCATTTTTCTTTTAGTTACAAAGTCTTTTAAAGCACGATCCTGAATGTAAAGCAGATAGCAGAATTCCTCTCTCTCTCTGGGAAGCTGTGCCTTGAAGAAGGGCTTTAAGGTCGTTTTGAATTTTGCTCAGTTGTGTCTTAGCTTCTCAGGGTGCAAGGTACAGCTGAAAAGCCAAGTCCGAAGGGTTATTTGGCAGTCAGAGGTTGTAACAGAACACACGTTTCTTTCACGTTTCTTTATATTACCGCACATTAAAAAGCATTGTTCCTGGTTAGTTTTTCCTCTTTTGCATCTTGGTTTTATTCACTTTTTTTGCTGTAGGCACAGCTGTCAACTCAAGAGAAAGAAATGGAAAAGCTTGTCCAGGGAGAACAAGACAAGACAGAGCAGTTGGAGCATCTGAAAAGGGAAAACGGCCAGCTTCTTCTCAGTTTAACTGAACAGGTAGAGTCATGAAAGAAAATAACATTTTTTGGCATTTAGGAGACACTATATACATCATTCTTTCTTTACTCTGTCATGTACCCGGATGTCACTGGCTCTGGAAAGGCCTCAGAGGTAGCCATCTGAAATGAAGTATCTCATGGCTGTTCTCAGAAACTACTAAGAGAAGGCTTGCTCCTCTCTCTGCATCCTGCTTGCTCAGTAGCTGAGCAGGCCCTTCCGCAGTGCCTGTGTGTGTGTGTGTGTGTGTGTGTGTGTGTGTTCGTGTTCCTAACAGTGGTACTGAAATCTGTTTTCGTGCAGAGGGAGCATCAGAAGAAGCTTGAGCAGAAAATGGACGAGCTAAAGCAGAAAGAAGCTACTGCAACGAAGAAACAGCAGGAGTTATCGGCAAGTGTGTCTTTGGGTGGCTATGTGGGAGGAGCCTACAGAAAGGAAGGGAGAAGGTCTATACTCAGGTGATGGACAGGTTAAAAAAGACAGATGAGAATAGCTCTTACCTCTGGACATTTTGTATTCTACCCAGAAGGACAGAGAATTTGCTATGTACAAAATGTTCAGGAAGGGTAGGTATTTCTAATGTGTGATGAGTGCTAAAAGAATATTGGAAGTTAAACTTCATGACAGGTTGTAGTAAATAGAGCCTTGGGCTAGGAATTCCCTTCTTAAAGAGTTATCGTGCAGGCACACAACTGATTATACAGTTGAGCTCTACGATTGGAAAATATTACGGCTGTCAAAACAAAATTTGTTATAATTAACATAATATTAGCAATTATCATCATTATAAATTATTCTGAGCCATCATAAAATGGTAATGATAGCCTAATTGACTAATAATTTTCTCTAATATATTGTCAGAAAAGAGGCCTCCTAGCAATGACAGGTGCCTCGAAGCCCTGTTTTCTGAACTGATGTAAGAGCATTAGAAATCCTGATGTCTGGAGGCTATCCAGCTGTTGGGATTGCAACATATCATATATGCACCATTCATTATTCAATGAATTATTGACTACCTACTCTATATATAAGATACGTATATTTTAGCCTGGTATAATGAAAAGTAGAACAAAGTGTGAAAATCGCCAGTTCACAGGTTTAGTCCACAGAAATGTTTTATTTGGCCTAGATGGTGCTTTTTAAAAAATTGAATTAATTACCATTACTTGCAAATGGGAATATTTCCCATTAAAATTGTATTCCAGCTTCTATTGAAAAATTAAAGACCCGAACCCCCATCTGGAGCTGCGCAGCGGCCGCACCCTTTAGGTGGGCCCTGTGTCCTCTGTTTGGCTGCATCTTCACTGTCTCACTGCATTCAGCTCCTTCATTTAATTACATTACTTGCCGGGCCCCTACTGATAGACACATTTGAGTTTGTGACCTCTACTGTAGCAAAGAAATTACTGTTTTAAATAATCTAGAGCCATTCAAATGTTTGAATTGTCCTGCGGCAGGTATGGGTTTCCTTGGTTTTCATGGAGCATTTTGCAAGACCCAGGGGCTCCCCAGCTCATAGCAATTCTTGTTCCTCATGCAGCCAAAAGGCCCCTGTGAACACTATGTATCTTACACTTCAGGAGCATGGGAACAAAAAACAGCAGCAGTGAAGGAGCAGTCAGTGCAAGTGGAGGGCCACCCAAAGGCAAAAGTAGAGGCCAGGGAAGCCTGTTCCTTAGAGAAGAACAAAGAGTGTCAACGACTCCACTCCACAAACAGATCGGGCAGTTCGGGGCTGCTGCACTGGGAGGTGACAGAGATAAGGGGCCCAGGAAGCAAGGGGTGTGAAGGTCTGTGGTTCTTAGACAAGCCCAAAGGATTGTATACCCTTGCTAAGGAGAGAGATTTATCTTTCTGCTAAGAGGCGGGATGGAGCGTGAGGCCAGAAACCAGCCTGTGAATCCCCAGAAATACAGGTCCCAGCTGAGCCATGGGCCTCAGGGAAGACTTTTGTAACCACTGAGCAGGTTTCCCTACAGATGCAGAGAGAGCCCTTTTTTTATTTCTGCCTTTTGAGGAAGTGCAGCAGGAGCCGGTAGGGTTGGGGAGCCAGGAGCCTGTGGTCAGCACTGTCCGTGGGCGGCCCCCCTTGCATTACTACCTCAGGGTCAGCTGCAAGTGCACAGCAGTGTAGGCACCAGCGTTCACATAGAAAACCTTGGCAGGGAGGGGTGTGGAGGAACTAATAGGATTAGCTTAAGTGTTTTTGTGAGGTATGCGAATGTGGATGTATGTAGTAGGAGATGGGAAGCTCTGAAGCATGCCTAGGAATTTTGTGTTCATGAAACTAGTCAGATCAACCTATCATATTGGGAAGCCCGAGGTTGCAGCCTGGGTTCCTGGTAGCTCTGGATAAATGCCTTCCGGAGTTCTTCCTTCCTCAGTGTAATGTGCCTGTCCTCACTCACGCTTGGGACGAAGTCAGGCCAACCTAACCCTGAGTGCTTCAGGGTTATTCAGGGCATTGACTCAGATGTTTATTCAAGACAAAGATGATTATTTCCGTGTTTGGGTTTAACCCCGTGTAGGGGTTAATCAAGGCTCCATTTATCCCTAACTCTGATGAAATCAGTTTTGAGATTTTCCCCAAGCCTCCTTCTTCTCTCTAAGTCACTTAGACACTTATCCCCTCAGCTAAACCAGAGGAAGCCAGCACCTCTGTGCCAGCCCAGACTCTCAGGCATTCGGTTAAGTCACTTTTCTATTAGTCAGCACCCCCCCCCCCGCTCCCCCCCCCAACAACACACACACAGTGCCGCTCCTCCCTGCCCCAGCTCCCCTCCCCACGTCACTCCCAACACTCTGGAAAGCTGCAGCTCCCGTGACCACCTTGTTTTACCCCGCCTCGGATCCAGGTTTCCATATATGGTTCTAATCCCAATAATTTTTTTAAATTATTGACAGGACGAGAACTTTGACCTCTCTAAAAGGCTGAGTGAAAACAAGATTATATATAACTTTCTGCAGAGAGAGAAAGAGAGAATGGAAAAAGAAAATGATGTAAGTATGTAAGAGTAGAAAACCCCAAGATTTTAAGGGGAAGGAACAGGGTGACCCAGTGGTATGCTGATAAATTAAAAAGTTAAATAAAAGAGTCCCAGCCTAACTGGTGTGGGTCAATTGGTTGAGCATCATCCTGCAAAGCAAAAGGTCTTGGGTTCAAAGCCCAGTCAGGGCACATGTCTGGGTTGTGGTTTCAGCCCCCATTCGGGGTGTGTATGAGAGGCAACTGATCGATGTTTCTCTCTCCCATCAATGTTTCTCTCCCTCTCTTCCTCTCTTCCCCTGTTTCTAAAAATAAATAAAATCTTTTTAAAAAATAAATTAAAATTAAAATAAAAGAGCCCCTTCTGGGACAGTGTGGGAGGCAGTTTCTCCTAAAGAAAGCAAATTTAATCTGGTTTCCTAATCTACCACAACAAACTTGTTTGGCATAACAACAGTCAACCTGAAAGGAACAGCTTTGATGAAGATCTAACTTGCTACTTTTGGTTTTGTCGTCCCCACTATTGTAAATTTGTCTTTGGAGGGTAAGACCTTTTGTTGCTTTTATGCTGGCTGAGGAACCCCTTTCCTTCAGCACGACTTTTCCTTTTTTCTCTGCTGCCAAACCAGGAGCAGAAGTGGTAGTCTGTACCAGTGCTGGACCCATGGTAGGCTGCTAATAAATGCTGTACATTCATTCATTCATTCATTCATTAGTTTATGCATTCATCCAACTAATATTTATTTTCTGCTGTGTTCAACGCAAGTTATGATTGATTGATGAAGGATGATGGCAGCAAATAAAATGGTTGCCCTTGAAGTCGTTCTCATGCCCTTACCTAGCATCGAAGAGTGGGTGTCCATGCATCCTGGCCACTCCTAGGTCTACACCTCTGGCAGTCCCCCTCTCTGCCCTCTTTGTAACTCTTCTGGGCTATGCCTCCAAGCAATCGTTTCTGCTTTTGATTTCGCTATTCATGCCGTTGTGTTTCGGCATTGTAGAAAGCCTTTGGGGTCTGTTTCTGGCCCTGTCATTCCCAGCCTCTTGACTTGGACAAGTATTCCTTGACTTTGAAATCCTTACTTTCCTGGGATAGTCTGAGGGGGTCAGCCAGGGGTATGGAGGGAGTGTGCACACAATTTACAAGAAGGAAAAGATCTGATATTTGGAAGTTTTGTTAAGAACTATAGTAAAGCTCTCTTAAGATGTTAAGGGGCAGTTTACTAATTTTTTTTTTTTTAAGAACTTTTGGTCCTGTCTGCCCTCCTTGTAGCTTATTCTCTCTCATTCTTTCTCTCATCCTCTCCCTCCCTCTCTTCCTTCCTCCATCTCACTCCCTCTGTTGCTATATCTATTGGATGGGATAAAACATGAAGAAGGGAAAATGGTATCAGTTGAATATTTACATTGTGTAAGAAAATTTTTCCACAAAGGAGACTAAAAAGAAGCATTTTGCTCTCAATAATATTCAATAATTTCATTCTTAACATAGCTCCTGACAGCCTCATCTATCCACACAACTTTTGTACCTCCTTCAGTTGGTATATATTTAGAGATTTTAAATTCTTTTTTACATTAATCTAAACGAAGTGTGGTACATATCTAAATTCAGATGTTAAGAACTCAGATCTCCAGAGTATAGAGGCTGCTTCTTCCCCTTCTGAAGAATGGTGGTTTATTGCTTCCTGGGCTCCTCCCGTGCCGCTCTGTTCATTAAGAGCTACCTGTAATGGGCACCCTTTTGCCAATTCACTGGGGCCTTTCTGTGTTGTTGTCTTTCAACATGTCGCTATAAATCTTCTATCCTTAGCTTCTGAAGAGGGAGAACAGCAGATTGATGAGTTACATGGATTTTGACTCTTTGCCATGTCAAGTGCCTACTTCAAATCAAGGAAGTGCAGGACAAAACCCAGGGCTTGTCTATGGAAATCCATATTCCGGTAAGACAACGTTGCCATTCGCGCTGAAAGACCCCTGCCTACATCCCTTTCCCCCACTAAATTTTTTTTGTGTCTGAGATGCTAATTAAGACCAATCTCATTGTTAAGACTTGCTGGGCAGAAACTGAGAACCCAACAGAAAGATTGCCGGGCGAGAAGTGTTAATTGAGAAATAAATCTGAATCTAGAAGACGCAAATCAGATCATTCGCCTCGAGGCGGCAGACACAAATTGAGTCCCGTGGCTATATTCCAGATCCATAAATCAGGGAAATGCCTCTGTGTAGAAGATATACACATAAAAAGCTGAGGAAGCTAATTAAGGTTTGGAAATGGAAGCACAAGCGGCGGGTAATGCCACCCAGGAATGGGCAGCCGCGGCGGCCACCCCACGGCCTGACCAGGGGTGGCAGGAGTGTGCTCCGCGGAGACCCCTGGATGGTTTGGGGGTCCTTGTCGCTCAGGGACCAGGGGTCCGATGTCCTTGCCAAACAGGGAACTTCCCTCTTTTGTCTTTAAAAGTGACGTGAGACCTCATTTGCTTTTCTGGACAGGTCCAAGCTGTCGTGTCTTCTTGAGAGCCGCAGTCAGATCTCTGCAACAGGCAGGGATGCAAGTTTCTTTTTTTCTCTAAAAATATTTGTAAACACTTTATTTGAAGAACAACTACATGGAGTCAGTCTTAAAATATATTCTCAGACCGTTTCCTGATTAAATTGTTACTGATTTTACTAAAATCTCATTGTCCACCCACTGAAAACAGGTTTATTGTTTTTTTCTGATTCTATAATATACATGGCTATTGAAGAAGCCCACTTCATTATTTTTCCCTTTTTTCCTTTATCATTGGCTTAGATCCCCTCTCTCAGAAGTAAATGGTTTATAAAAGAGATAAAGAGACATAGACAGTGGGGAGAAAGGGAACAATGGGGGTTACAGAAAACAGCTGCTAGAACACATTTGGAGATCTAAGGATGCTATATTTTCATTGAATGAAATCTTTTTTTATTACCTTCAGGCATCCAAGAAAGTTCTGCCCCCAGCCTGGTAAGTATTTTGCGTGACCACATCAGATCCTTGAGAAATTTTCCCCTCCTGCTTTCGTTCACGGGAGAGCCATGGGGAGCATTTTGGTAACTCCAGAAGTCAGCTGGATCAGCTTGTTCAGTGCCCAATGCTGACTGAGGTGGGAGGAGAAAGCGCAGTTTATCCATCAACATTCTGCTCAATGACCTCCATTGTGAGTTGAGTTTAGTAGCAGGATTAGGAAGGAGATGTGAACTAGGCAGCTAGCCAAACAAGGTATGTCCAGCACCCCTTCCAGGCCGGAAGCGAGTTGACTGCTTCAGCAATATTAGGTTCCTTCAATCCCGAGGTTAGAGATAGCCCCAGTGAGTCTCCCCAAATTGGAATTTGTTCGTTCATCCTCTCTATCTTGAGGACCTACCGTGTGCCAAGTATTATGCTAGATACTGAGGGTAGGGTGGAAAATAAAGTAGGCGTGGTGTCTGCCACATACAGCTTCTGTCTTTACTGACCTTTGTTCTTTCTCCCAGCTTTCCATGAAGAAATGCCCCACCTGCAAATCAGACTTTACTGGTGACATTTGTGATCACACCTTGGAGCAGCAGCCCATTCAGACCCTTTATTGTCCAATTTGTGACAAGAGCTTCTCAGCAAAAGAAAAGCAAATCTTTGAAGACCACATGTTCTGCCACAGTCTGTAAGTGTTCCGGCCTCTTGGATCTGTACTGTGCGCAGACTTTATAGAGTAGAACCTATAGCTTCTACTATGAGCTCCGACACAAGATCCGGCCTAACCTGGAATTATTAAGGATTTATTTAGTCCTGCTGCTCTAACGGTAGAATCATGTCGATAATCTAAGGGATAGCGTTAAGGGCTGTTATTTCCATCCGTGTGGGTTACCACCTTTTAAATCACACAGCGCTAGCTGTGTCAGCTTCTCCCCTATGATGCCCATTCTTCCAGTGGTCTCCAGTACAAAGGCCCTGGGATGGAAGCGACCTGGCTCTTCATAGCAGCCCTGACTCAGATCCTAAGTGATTAGTTTTCAAAATTGTCAGGCCTTGAGTATATCCGTATTCAGTCCTCAGTCCTACCCTTGGGGCTGGAGGTTGACCAGAAGTTGAGAATTTCTTCCTCCATCCGCTCAGGCCTCTTTCTCCAACTGATGGCATTAGACTGGCCAAAAATGGCATGGCAGAGAACTCAGGCATCCAGTTTGGATACCAACAGTTTTCTCATTTTGATTTCTCAGCTCCTAATAGAAGCATCTTACTCCTGAACCATAGGCATGAAATATTATTTCAATCACAGAAAGCCTGCTTTGTCTCTGGATACCCCTAATTTGGCATTTTCTACTCTTTGATCTTTCCTACTCACGTAACTTTTACTGTTATCTTTTCTTAACAGTTAGTAGGTTGTTAGAAACTGTATGGGGTTTGCAGCTTTCTAAGCCGGTGAGTTTGAATGATGAGACTAATGTTAATCTCTTTGATACTAAAAATAAACTAGTCCTCTTTTTCAGGGACTTTGGTAACTTAAAATAAACCTTGAGTTCATGGTCTTTTATTTTTAAGTTTACGAGAAAAGTGTAATCAATAGCATTGTGGGAACTATGGACCCTACCGATGATCTCCCTTCACCTATCTTAACTGGTCAACAGAAGAGTTTCCTGGCCACTATTCTGAGGTGGAGAGGAGGTGGTGAAGCATTAGTCTGACAAATCTAGAACGCTGACTTCTTGCTTGCTCTTTTCATGTATTTTTTGAAAGAGGGCGGTGTGGAATTTGGCACTTTTGTGAACTAAGTTCAATTCCCTCCATCCAAACTGAACTGTAAGAAAATAGTCCCATATTCTGTCTCCCCAGGGACCGAACAAATAGAAATGACTCCCGGGCAGTCAACAAACAGGTCACGATAGACTTCTACAAAAAGTTCTGAATGATGTGAAACATGATGTCATGGATGAGGTTGAGCCAACCATAGTTGCATTCGTTCTGGGGTTTTCCCTGATGTGATTGGAGTTATGTCTCAGGCAAAGCATACTGTCCTCGTCACAGCTCTTTCCCTTTATTTCCCCTTTGATAAAGTGAAGATGGAACTATGCTACCACTTCTTCTGTATCATTGTTTCAATAAGCTGTCTCTTGGACTCATAACCCTCTTGCCCTTTAAGAATCAGATGTGACATTAAGACTAAACAGAAATGTAATGGGAAATGATAATGCAGTTTTTCTGGCAGATACCCCTCCTCCCTGCAAAATTGCTGTTGCTCCCCAGACAGTTCCAGCGAAGAATTGCAGTTTCCTTTATTTTGTACTAGTCAGCTCTTAATTAAACACGGGAGCGGAGAGGAGCAGGAGTGCGCACAGTGCAAGTCAGCGATACTGTTTCCTGGTGAGTCACCCACCCCTTGCCCTGCCGCCATCATCCAGCGGACCTACCGGACCTACCGTGAGTGTCAACAGTAGCAGGAGCCCTTCCACAGGCTTGGTTAAAAGAACAGTTGAGGTGTTAATGATCCTTTTTGCTGGATGTAAAACAAAGCATCTTTAACCACTGTTCATTATCCCCGGCTGCTCTTACCAAGGCTTTGAAGGGGTAATTATGCTCCAGGCAGCTACCAGCGCTAAAGGAAACAATCATTCTTACGTAATCCGCGCCTCATCCCAGCCTTTCCCCTCTACACCTCTGGCACCCACATATTTTATAGCTGTAACATACCTGCAAAAAAAAAAAAATTTTTTTTTTAAAGTAACAGGCAGTTATGGGAGCAAAATAGTATTAATTTCTAAATTAGATTTTTAGAACTTTTGTACTTACATAGAAGACAATTGCTTCTATGGCAAGAAGTTTTCCTCCCTAATTTATTTTCCCTTGCTAATATTGAAATATTTTTATATCACCTTAACACACTTGATGGCCAGTGGGGAAAAGTCACCCTGGCACAGGTGAGTGTGAGTGGTGAAAGCAAGCGAACCTAACATCAAGAAAGGGAGAGTTGACAGGGTAGTCGGTAAACCCAGGTCCCTCAGGACACCTGTATCCTCAGCCCTTTTCCCTGTTCTTGCTAAAAATTGGGATGAAATGAAGCTGGCGTCATGCTTAAATACTATTCTCTTATGATTTGAGTGATTTTCTACAGTGGCATTGGATTACACTGAGCTAAGCATACTCTCGCCTGGTCTCCTAGCAACAGATATTAATGAGAGGATAGGCTGGGGCTAAGTGATACAGTCCATTACCTAGGAAAAGAGCAAAATGGAGTGAACATAGAGATCAAACCCAGAGAGATGCCTAACGCCCCTGAGTCAACCGACAATCGGCCACACGCCCCGGGAAGTCACACGGGCTGCTGTGTTCACCTGAGTTGTCTCATATAAGTGTGGATGAAAATAATGTCTTTACATGCATGTAGTGCTTTATTGTTTAGGATGTATTTCACATTTTTGTAGATGAATAAGTTGAAACAGAGAAATAACTTGCTCAAAGTGGAAACAGCCTAAATGTCCATCAGTTGATAAATGGGTAAATAAAAATGATATGGCCCTACAATAGGACATTATTTGGCAATAAAAAGGAATGAATAATAAGGAATGATATAGCCCTGGCTGGTGTGTTTCAGTGGATTGAGCGCCAGCCTGCGAACTGAGAGGTCACTGGTTTGATTTCCCGTCAGGGCACAGCCTGGGTTGTGGGCCAGGTCCCCGGCTGGGGGTGTGTGTGAGGCAGCCAATTGATGTTTCTCTCACACATCGATGTTTCTCTCCCTCTTTCTCCACCTCTCTCTGAAAATAAATAAATAAAATCCCTTTTTAAAAAAAGGAACGATGTTATGTTACAGCATAGATGAGCCCTGCAAGCTAAGAGAAAGAAGTTAGTCACAAAAACCCCACATATTTTATGATTCCATTGATACGAAGTGCCCAGAATAGGCAAATATTCTATAGAAACAAAATAGATTAGTGTTTCCCTGGGGTTGGGCGTTGGGGGAAATGGAGAGTGACCGCTAATGGGTATGGAATTTCTCTGGGGGGTAAAGAAAATGTTCTAGAATGTATTATGGAATGGTTGCACAACTCTGTACTAAAAACTATTGAATTTAGAATTAAAATGGGAGGATTATATGCTGTGTTAATTATATCTCAAGTTGTTATATTATTGAATAGGTTTTTAAAAACAACTTGCACCCTGGCTGATGTGGCTCAGTGGATTGAGTGCCAGCCCATGAACCAAAAGGTCGCCAGTTTGATTCCCAGTCGGGGCACATGCCTGGGTTGCAGGCCAGGTCCCCAGTGAGGGGTACATAGGAGTCAACCACACATTGATGTTTATGTCCCTCTCTTTCTCCCTCCCTTCCCCTCTGTCTAAAAATAAATAAATAAAAATCTTTAAAAAAAAACAAAACAACTTGCTAAGGTCATACATTGGCACATGGTAGGATGTCTTAAGTACAGATACCGTACAGAGCAAGTTCAACACTGTTGAACTTGGTTAGAATACACTTATCTCAGTACAACGCGCTGCCACAACAATGTTGGGTTCTCCCCCTATCTTGGGCTGGAGACAGCAACTTCAGTTGTGATTAATAGGGTCAGGGCAATTAGTGGCCAGCAGCGTAAGCGATCTCTGGGTATATCCTGTGGAGATGAATGTACCCAATAAAGTTGGGGCGAAGTGCCACTAACCCACAAATCCCAGGTAATCATATTAAGGGGTCCAGCCTGCTCTGTCTAATGTTATTACTTTCTCGCTGTGGACAGAAAGAATATGACACTCTAGGGACTAAGTCTATTGTTTACTCAGTCAATCAACATTTATTGAGCACCCACAGTGTGCAGAACGAGTATAGGGCCAGGATTACAAAAATAGAAGACAAGTTCTTCCTCTGAGGGATCTACAAGATTAATGAAGACATTCTCTCTGCCCTCGAGGAACTCAAACTGTTAAGGGAGAGAGTCTCAGTTTTCTGAGGTCTCCTAGTCTGATGGGGAAAAGAGGTAGCCACCCACAAAAGCAATCTAAGGACACAAAGACAAGGGAAGTCTTGCAAACTGAGGACAAAGAACTATGGGACCTGAAGTTTGATTAAGTAGTAATCAAAGCCCAAGTTGCTGATGTCTTCCAAGAGTGTGCTTTGGAAGAACTTGATGAAGGACAGAAATGGCAGACAAAAATGGAAGGAATATTCTGAGGGTCTGTGCAGAGGTAGAGGAACAAGTAAGAGCAGAGAAGCTGGCCCAGAAAACAAAGGCCTTCTAAGCAAAAGTACTAGCATATACATAAAAAGGAACCAGTTCTGTCCTTGGATGACATCTAATAAGCTCACTTGAGCCCCCAAGGGACAGGAGTGAGGACAGGGGAAGGATGATGCTTGTAAGGATATAAGAATGTCTCGGAATCCCAGCTTCCAGCCTCCCAGCACTGGGCACTGGAGCGGTCGGTAAAATCTCCCCTTGCTGTCCCTCATCCGTCTTCTCAGCCTCTGATTTAACACCTCTTTCACTTGAGGCTGACCCTTTGCCTTCTGGACCATGTGATGTAAAATGGTTGCTTCCTGTAGCTCTAGGTTTTTAAACTACTCTGCTAAAACACACACACACACACACACACACACACACACACGCACAGAGGTTTTGAAAGGATGGGACTCTTAGTCCAATTCTAGACTCACTGAGGGATTTGTTGGATGTGCCACAGTGAACCAGCGCTCACTCCTTGTTTGACTGGCCTGAGGGTGCACCCCCCGCCCCCGCACCAGCATGGCTGCTGGAACTCGCTGTGAGAGTGGGGAGGGTCTGGCATGCGGAGAGGGAAAGACCAGAGAAGCACAGGTGTGAGCTGAGCATGCAACAAACAAATGTAATAATATGGGAAGGTGGGACTTGAATCTGATACTAAAATATGAGTGGCCCTTAGGTAGAAAAAAAAGGAAGATGCAGTAAAAAGGCACAGGGTGGAATACGAAGCAATAAAAAGGAACAAACCTGGTAGCTGCAATCACTTAACTGAAATGCCCAGAGAATTGTGCTAAATTTGAAAAGCATTTTAAATTCCATACTATATATTGTGTTTATTTAACATCCTTGGAAATTCACAACTATAAAAATGGAGAATAGATTAGTGATTGCTAAGGGCTAGGGAGAAGGGAAGTGGGTGTGTGGTAGGAGGAGCTACGCAAGGGGTCCTTGTAATAGAGCTGTATCATGACTCTGCTGGCGGATACACAGACCTACATGGGATACACTCCATTGAACTAAATACACACACAGAAGAGAACCAGTCAAATGGGAATTCCGAATAAGATGGGTGCATTGTACCAATGTCAATATGCTCATTGTAATATTGTACTAAAGTTTTTGCAACATATTGGGGGAAATAGCATAAAGGGTACACAGGATCTCTGTACTAGTTCTTACAACCGCATGTGAATCTACAATTACCTCAAAATTAAACATTTAATTTAAAAAAAGAACAGGAGCTTTGAAAGAGCACGTTGAGATGAGGGAATCGCCACCATCGTGATGAGAGTACAGAGCTGCTAGTGGG